GAGATCATTGGCATGGGCCCTAATCAATATGACCGGTGCCCGCTCATACAAAGGGGACATTTGGTGACAGACTTGCAAATAGTGAGAGTGCCATGTGAATGTGAAGATGACCATTTACAAGTCTAGGAGGGAGGGTTGGAACAGCCTTCCCTCACAGCCCTCAGCAGGAACCAACCCCATGGACACCTTGATTTCAGGCTTCTAGTCTCCAGAACTGTGAGACAATACATTTCTTCTGTTGAAGCCACACATTTGGTGCTACTTTGTCATGGTAGTAGCAGACAAACATACAAAATTACTTTGTAAACAGGAAATATTTTAAAAGTCCAAGTCAAAAATAACAGTAAGAGTAGGCTTTGGTCAATTTCCGCTCTTTCATTTGTTTTCTCTCTCACAGTCTCTCTTGTAAGTGTGGTACCACCTTTTGCAGTGTGGAAAACCATTGGGCTTTTATTCTAGAGGCCATTGTCATGAGTGAAATGAAGTTGAGTACAAGGATTTCAGATGTTTTATGCAAGATGCAAGCCCCATCTAATACTGTTTCTAACTGACAAATATCTGAAGAGCTGGGAAAGTCCCAAAGAGATTCAAATTGATCTATGCGTTAAAAATAAAAGTCGTTTTAGAAAAGGTAACATATGTCCATGGTAGAAGAAAAAAATTCCAAATACTTTTCAAAAGTAGACAGTGAAAATAAAGCTTTTTTTCTTACCCTTAATCCTCAGTGTCCCTGGTCCTTTACCCAGAGGACACCTATAATAAACATTTTCCTGTGTTTTCTCCTAAGAGATATCCTATGTATCTAGAGCGGCTGTTTTCATTCAGTGTGCCACCAGAATTTTTAAAACATGCAATACCTGACTATTTAGTCAGGGGCACTGACCTCTTTTCTTTTAGATTGTCAAGTAAGAAAATGACAACAGCCAACACAATAGGCATCTGGTGTGAATGCCCTGTCTTAAACCATAAGTATATAGGTCATATAATAAATATAGGTCATATAATAGAGTTGCATATTATTGGTCATGTTGCATAATAAGGTTGCTTCTGATTGGCTAATTCTTTTTATTTTTATTGATTTCAGAGAGGAAGGAAAAGGGAGAGATAGAAACATCAATGATGAGAGAGAATCATTGATCAGCTGCCTCTTGCATGCTCCCGATTGAGCCCACAGACTGGGCATGTGCCCTGACCAGGAATTAATCCATGACCTCCTGGTTCATAGGTTGACGCTCAACCACTGAGCCACAGTGGCTAGGCTGATTGGTTAATTCTTGGTACCAGAAATCCTTATATACAAGTATAGGCACCTGATTTTTTCAAAAGTCACTTGGAGCAAATAATAATAATTATTATTATTATTTTGTAAGTCAATTAAAATTATACCCATTTTAAAAAATATATATTTTGATTGATTTCAGAGAGGAAGGGAGAGAGAGATAGAAACATCAAGATGAGAGAGAATCATTGATTGGCTGCTTCCTGGATGTCCCCTACTGGGGATTGAGCCTGCACCCTGAGCATGTGGCCTTGACTGGAATCAAACCTGGGACCTTTCAGTTCGCAGGCCAACACTCTATCCACTGAGCCAAACCAGCTAGGGCTATACCCATTTTTTGTCAGATCAGCAAATATACTTTTTGGTGTGCCACAGAATTTTAGTAATTAGTTTATGTGTGCCATGAGATAAAAAGGTGGAAAATTGTTAATCGAGAGGCATTTAGATATGTCCTCTCTCCTAACTCCATGGAAATAGAGCATTCTAGGCACACTCTTCTGCACCTTGCTCTTATTGCCTTAGTGACATGGTGGAGGCAGTCCGGCCTGGTGATTAAGATGTAGCCTCTGGAGCAGGTGATAACTCTTACTAGCTGTACAAGTTACATAATTAATCTGAACCTCAGTTTTCTCACTTCGAAAATAGGATTAATAATAGTCATACCTCGTTTCCTGGCTGGTGTGGGCTCAGTGGTTGGAACCTCAGCCTGTACACAGGATGATTGCGAGTTTGATTCCTGGTCGAGGGCACCTACCTAGGTTGCAGGTCTGTCCCCATCTCCAGTAGGGGCACATGCATCAATCTCTCTCTCTCTCTCTCTCTCTCTCTCTCTCTCTCTCTCTATTCTTCTCTTCTACTCTCTTTAAAATCATTGGAAAAAATATCCTCACTCCTTGGCTGAAGATTAAAAAAAAACAATAGTCATACCTCATGGGTCATTTGTGAGTACTGCTCACATTAACACACACGAAATAGTCAAAACAGGCCTGGCAAACAGCAAGACTTAGTACATATAGTTGTTAGCATGAAGCCATTGAGATCCAAAGAGCCACAACTTGGGATGTATCCTCTATGCTGTAATTTTCTTACTGCTCAAATATAATTTTTATCTTTCAATTTATTTCAGACAACAGAAAGCTAGGTACCAGGGACAGTTGCTACTGCAAAGGGACCCATAGTCCAGGGCAAGGGAGGGGAAGGGGATACAGGCAATTACATGAATAATGTCAATATCAGTCAATGAAGTGCTATTAGGGAAGCATGCATAGTGTACAAGACTTTCAAGGAAGAGCCTGATTCTGGGTGTGAGGGATCCTGCTGTTGTGAGCCACACTGGCATCCATTGTAACATCCCATGGCCCGAAATGTTAACCTTATAAGAAAAGCAAAATGTAAGACTGTCTGTGTAAGGAAGTTTCTACATAGGTCTCCAAGCTATTTTCTAAATCTGCATTTCCTAGTGTGTGTTTCTTTAGCACATTTCCTCTCTGGGGCAGAGATGCCTCTATCCTGTACTAGAAGTGTATTTGCCAGCTTAAAGGAATTGCAAGGAAAAACATTTTATAAGAAAACCTATTGAATTATTACCCACAAAGCAGCCTCATTCATTCAACTGATTCACTGACAGGTTCAAATCTTCTCACTACAAAACGCTTTCAAAGGACAATTGGAACCTAAAACTAATATAATGTTGTATGTCAATTATACTTTAATTTAAAAAAAGACAGTGGGAGGAATTAAAAGTGAAGCTATAAAAATACTTCAGGTTTGGCTACAATCAAAACTCTAATCTCTACAATGTTCTAAGTTCTTAAATACCTTTTGCCAATAATTAAATTTTGAATGAACATTTCAGAATAAGATTTAGTTCGAGCCAGTAGATTACATATTTGAAGCAACAAATTTTGATCAACAAAATTCTAAAACTAAGGATTTGAACATTCCTTTAGATGCTTTTCAATGAGATCTGAAGTCTGTGTTTAAAGCATTTACAGAATTCTTCGATAATTAGAGCTTGATGGCAGTTTTGCTAAGAATGTTTTTATTCTAATCTTTTAAATAATTATTTATCATAAATATATAAAAATACGGAGTATAAAGCAAGAAGAATCACAGTGAACATTTCAGTGACAGCTTGTTGAGTCAATCTTGACGTCTCTTGGATTTTATGGACTCCTGGGCCTGCCAGACAGTCACCTACATACACTTTCGGATGTCTGTGGGGCAGTGTGGATCCTCATTCCCCAAATAGCTCTTTCATAAGTGCCCAAACTTCCTCTTTTAATTGAGTTAAACATTTTCCCCCCAGAAACTTAGGATGAGCATATCTTCCAGGGAAGTAACTATAAAAACAAATAATATTACGTATCTTTTGTAGAAATATGTCCATTTGTGTCTATGAAGAACTAAAAGTTGAAAATATAGTAGAATGACATTGGTAGTTTTCTCACAATCAACCTTCTCTACCTTCTATCAAAATCTTTATTTATTAAGCTTCAAACCTGTGCAAAGCATTGTGCAAGGCATTGTGCTGGGCAGGTCCAAAGGACAAAAATGGGAAAGCCTTTGGCTGGGCTTCAAGAAACCATTAATCAAGTCGAGCACAAGACAAATACTTTGCAAACTATACTAGAGCAGGGGTGGGCAAACTTTTTGACTTGAGGGCCATAATGGGTTCTTAAACTGGACGGAGGGCCGGAACAAAAGCATGGATGGAGTGTTTGTGTGAACTAATATAAATTCAAAGTAAACATCATTACATAAAAGGGTACGGTCTTTTTTTTTTTTAGTTTTATTCATTTCAAATGGGCCGGATCTGGCCCGCAGGCTGTAGTTTGCCCACGGCTGTACTAGAGAGTAAAGCACCCAACGAAGACCATTCCCTAAGTGAGCCAACATGGAAGTAGGCCTTGAAGGACACAATGTTATTTTCTAACTAGAGGCCTGGTGCACAATAATTTGTGCACTCAGGGGGTCCCTCAGCCCGGCTTGTACCCTCTCGCAGTCTGGGACCCCTCGGGGGATGTCCCCTGGGGGATCGGGCCTAAGCTGGCAGTCAGACATCCCTCTGGCAACCCGGGAGCCCTTGAGGGATGTCCACTTGCCAGCGGGGAGCAGGCCTAAGCTGCAGTCAGACATCCTTAGCGCTGCTGAGGAGGCGGGAGAGGCTCCCGCCACCACCACTGTGCTGGCAGCCGACAGCCTGGCTTGTGGCTGAGCAGATCTCCCCCTGTGGGAGCCCACTGACCACCAGGGGGCAGCTCCTGCATTGAGCGTCTGCCCCCTGGTGGTTAGTGTGTGTCATAGTGACCAATCATTCCCAGTCGTTCTGCTGATAATGACGGGGAACTCACTATTTTATAGGTAAGTTCATTCCATGCTTCCATAATTGATGCCAGGAGACTCTTGCCTACATTGAATTGCTAGTTTCCTAATTTCAACAGATGGTCCAACAGCTGTTTTTTGGTGTTAGACTTAAACTTAAAAAAAAAAGATAAACAAATAGTTAAAAGCATTTAGAATGTATTCTCTTCCCTTTCCATCATCTTCAACTTCTCCTTTTATGACAGTCCTTCCGTCCCTTTAGCACCCAGGGACCTTATCACCCAGAAACCTTATCTCCTTTGACTATTTTGCAAATTCTTAGAATCAACTTAACGCTAAGGTCTGACGCTAAAGTCTGACTTGCAAAACAAAGCCTCACAGGTCCCCCTTATTCTAGTGGCCGGTACACCTGAAGGAAACCCAAGATTGCGCTACTTTCTGGACAGTTGCATCACGCTGCCGACTCACACTGAACCTACTGTTGATTACCTCTCACATGTAAGTCATTTTCCTCTGCTACTCCATTAGCACCCCCCCTGCCCCCCCGCCCCCGCCCCACATTTGAAGGGTGATGTCTTTAGAATTAAGGGCAAGAAGAAACCTTTTTACTATTGGGAAATGCTAAGTGAAAAGGAATGCTAGTAAGCGTCTAGCTTAGACCCGGAACATCCACGCAGTGCCAGTGGGAACTGTGGGGAGAAGATGCCTTTGTCTCCAGCCTTACTAGCATGTGACCCCACTCACATAGCAACCTCGGTTTTCTCTCATCTGTCAAGATGACTAGCATACTGCCTCGTAAGAAGACCCTCTTTATTTTCATGCGTTGGAACAGTCTTCTTTTATACATGTTTTATATGATTCTCTAACTTTTGCAGGAGAAAATAAGATATGAGAATTGCTAATTATACAACATATTCTGACTATACCAGACATTGTGCTAGGTGCTGGGAAGAGTTTGGAATAAGGTTCATTTTCCTAACACTTAAAACATTTTTGTTGTTGTTTCATTTTCCCTGGAGAGAAAAAAAAAAGCGTTTCCACCTTGTGAGGCTAGAAAGAGAAGTTGACTTTCTGCACCCTGGAAAGGGACCCTCACCAAAACCCAACCATGCTGGCACCCTGATCTCAAGCTTCAAGCCTCCAGAACTGTGAGCAATAAATGTTTTTTGTTTAAACCAAAAAAAAAAAAAAAAGCAAGGATTTGTAACAATACATTCAAACCAATGTTATATTCCACCCCCCACCCCCGCCCCATGGCCCACGTGTTGCCATTACTGTGTCTCAGAGCTGATAGAGGCAACAGAGCAGAGACTCATGAAGCTTCAAAGGAATATTTGTGCTGGGTTTTTGAGATGATCAAAACCAGCAGTTGACCCTGAAGGAAACGGTGGTATTATTCCTTCCGAGATACAGTCACAAATTAGGAAACACCCACCCACTACAGAATTTTCATAGCTGCCTCTCAGCGAGGTACAGGAAATAAGCTCAACCACAGAGAAAAAGGACAAGCTTGATCCAGAAAACTGGCTCCCAAATTCAGCCTCTTCTCCCTTTCCAGTACCCCTCCCTGCTGGAACCTTCTGGGAAGTCGCCCCAGCACAGTGGAACCTTCATAGATTCTTATCCCCGTGAGTTTTACTGTCTTAATTTACTGATAGAAGCTTATATCGCATTTTGCATTCAACTTTTTGAATTGGCCTGTGATATAAATACATTTTGTATTTCTCTCTCTCTCTCTCCATATGTATAAACACACATACAGATATACATTATAAACACACACAAAAAGCCAAAAATGTTATAGGAAACACTACTATTCTAGATGCTATTCACTGTTCTTTCCTCTTGCATTTCTTTTAACAAATACTGACCGTGACCCACTAAACTGACCTTAAGACACTTATAGGCGGCACCTGGTGTTTGAAAACAATGGGAAGCCTTGCTCCTCTGCCCTGAGGTCTTGTTAGAAACTCACATTCTCAGGCCCCCTACACCTGCTGAGGTATAACCTGTATTTATCAACAGCCTCATGTGATTGATATGCAGTTTAGACTTTGAAAATCGAAGCGGTAAAGGACTCTTGGTCCTAAACACTTCAATTCGTTCCAATAACCTTGGTGGTTTGACTTCACGGTGTGTGGCATCTGAGGAGGAGGACAAAGAGAGCAGAGTGCGAAGTGGCTTTCCAGTGGCAATGGGGAGGGAAGCGGAGGATTTGCAGGTCAGTGCTATCGGCAAGTCCGCGAATAGCTGCCATCTCAGTTAAGTGGACAGTAAATGGCACAGAAGGGCACTTCACAGGAGGCTGGGAGGATCAGGGAAAGCTTCCTGGAGGAGGAAGATCATGAGTTGGAGCCAGTTGAAACTGAGGGCCTCCGTGGAAGGGTCAGGCAAAAATGAAGCTAGCAAAATAATGGACACAGAAAGTGATCTTTCCCTTTAAAACATGAGCCACATATCCACTTAGATTACATACTTATTCATGAGAAAATTTCTTAGTGACCCCTGTCTACAGATTATTCATATATTTAATGAAGTATTTTCCTCCTTCCAGGCAAAGAGAAGTAATAGAGAACCTAGATTCTGTCCCATTAGAATTGTAATGAGACATACATTTTGAAATGTAAGGACATACATTTCAACCCAAAGCAATGGGTTCAACCCAATTGTGTGAAAGCAGCTGAAATGGCCTGGAATTGAGCAGCCAACAAAAGCACTCTTTTCTAGAGAATTTCCTCCTTTTCTTCACTTTCAAAATTACTTTCACTTTTCAATGACCCTGACACACTTTCTCAACTCTCTAGACCAGTGTTCTCAACCTTCTGGCCCTTTAAATATAGTTCCTCATGTTGTGACCCAACCATAAAATTATTTTCGTTGCTACTTCATAACTGTAATGTTGCTACTGTTATGAATCTTAATGTAAATATCTGATATGCAGGATGGTCTTAGGCGACCCCTGTGAAAGGGTCGTTCGACCGCCAAAGGGGTCGCGACCCACAGGTTGAGAACCGCTGCTCTAGACCAAAGTTAACAAACTCATAGCATATGATGCCACTCCCCTTTTCTAGGGCCATAGATAAAGCTTGCCGATCTGTCTTCTTTCTCGATAAGCCGATACTTGGCCTCAGAACCCTTCTGAACAAGGTGGAGATTGTTCTCTAAAATGACTCTGTTAGGTAATCCCACTCTAAGCAATCCTAACTTGAGTCAGTCTGTCCTTAAACCTTGAGTCATTCCGTAGGATTGTTTAGTTGCTGATTTCCTTCATGTTCATTTGTTTATGGAGTTGGTGCTAGGTTCTTTGATTTTGTGAAAAATAAAGCATTTGGCCCTTTCAACCATCAGAAATCATGGTTTAAGATAAGGAAATGTCTTATTTAGTTCAAGAGCTATCCATGTGGCAATTTACATTATAGGCAAACTGTGACATATGTATGAAAAGACAGTATGGTCCACTGATGAACATTAACTGCCATAATCACAAATGTGGGCTTATCTTTCCATTGACCATAGAGGTGGGCTCTGTCCAAGTACAGAGAACCAAGCAAAGGCTTTGCATAGAAGTTGGAAAGTTCTAATGAGGCCTCAGATAGGCATAGTGTAATCATAGGAGAGGCCGAAAGAAGGACTTGCCACAGTCTTTCCAGTAAGGAGGTTTCTGTGATGAAACCAGATTGTCTGTGGTTTTCCATGTTGCCATTTTAAATCTGCATGTGCTAATAGCAGAGCTAAATGGTGAGGCCAGCTGCCCTGGCTTTGAGAAGCATACCTGATCTGGTGACAGGCGGAATTATGTGAGTGTCTGGTCAAACAATGAAGTAAAGGTGGGCCCCAAGTTTTTTGTTGTTGTTTTGTTTGGGCTCACCTAAAGAGAGACAGGATTCAAAGGAGGAAGATAATTCTGTGGGAGTTGGAGACCCAGATAAACCTGTTCTTGAAGGAATTTGAGGAATGAGGTAAGAAGTTCTGAAAGATGGGAACACGGAGATAGAGAGAAAGACAGAGACTCAGAGATTCAGAGACACAGAGTGGCACAAAGACTCAAAGACACACAAGTTAAGAGCAATAGAGATAGAAAGCTAGAGACCAAAACTTGGAGACAGAGAAAGAAAGGCACACCAGCTCACATAAATAGTCGGAAGCATACAGGACAGTGATTTAGGAACACAAATAGGACCCAAACAGTATTCAAGAGACAAAGGCAGAAGCCAAAGAGGAGAAGGACAGAGACTCATAAAGAGTCCAATGCAGAGGTGGATCAACACCCAGGGTTGTCAGAGACCGGGAGAGACTGAGGGAGGGGCGGCAAATGGCATCTCATTCTAGCAGAGGCCCATCTGTCCAGTCCCCAGGTTGGCCTGCACGGTGCAGGCATGGCTACAAGACCAAAAGACCAGGGAATGTTTGTTTGATTTGGAATGGGACCCAAAGCTCGATGACTGACTAGAAAAAATATCTGTGGATAAGAACTTGAGGAGCACTAGCAGGGCTGCACAGAAATCCAAAACCAGAGGATCGCTCAGGAGGCCTCATGTCTGAGTAGAATCAAGCTTGACTCTGCACTTACTCTGGGCACTCTGGCAGCCTGTCCCTCGTAAAAGGCTGCATCAGGGCCATTGTTTTCGGGCGGCATTGCCCTTGACAATTTTGGGCTGGTACAGGAAACAGAGTGGGCCTCTTTTGGGAAGCTATGACTAGAGCAGTGGTTCTCAACCTTCCTAATGCCGAGACCCTTTAACACAGTTCCTCATGTTGTGGTGACCCCCAACCATAAAATTATTTTCGTTGCTACTTCGTAACTGTAATTTTGCTACTGTTATGAATCATAATGTAAATATCTGATATGCAGGATGTATTTTCATTGTTACAAATTGAATATAATTAAAGCATAGTGATTAATCACAAAAACAATATGTAATTATATATGTGTTTTCCGATGGTCTTAGGTGATCCCTGTGAAAGGGTCATTCGACCCCCAAATGGGTCACGACCCACAGGTTGAGAACCGCTGGACTAGAGGAAAGAGCCCCAAACGTTGGGGGATGCAGAAAGATTCCAGATTCCTTGTTTTATTAGCTATCTCCCCTCTATTTCATTGTTTTCTGACTTCAACTGACAACAAAATTCTATCAGTCCCAAGGGCGTCTTCTCCAGGTCCCATGACCCCCTTCCGCCCTGCTATATAACATACACTTTATGCAGACACTGTTCCCGCCCTCAAGCCACTCTACCTTGCATTCTCTAACTGCACAGGCCTGTGCATTCTCTGTTCTCTGTACTATAAACTCTGCCACGGACAGCCTTTTTTTTTTCTTCTTCTTAATTTCAGTATCCCTCACCAGCACTGCATATGTCAACAACAGATGGAGCCCTGAATGAATGGGAAAGTGAATGAATGAAACAAAGTGACCCCACTCAACATGAAGAACCTGTGTGAACAGATGTCCACATGTAAGGCGAAGGAAGTCACCATCACCCATAGAGGAACAGAAAACACAACAACTGAAGAGGAAATTTGCTTGAGTCAAAGAGAGAGCAAACTGCACACCAGTTACATATTCTCCTACCGCCCCAAGAGACGCACCTTCCGTTTTCAGACTCCAAGATTACAGAATTGTGCACAGAAGAGGAACAAGCGTTAGTGCTCTACTTGCTATCACAGATCTGTCATCAGATTCCTTTAAAGCTTTGACTTTTCTAGACTTTTCTTAGCCTTACCAATTTGTCTAGTGCCCCCGCCCCTATGAAATCTACACAAAATTCAATAAAGTTTTTTCTTAATTAGGATAATAACCTGGTTTTGTCTTGTGCATGTATGTGTATTACATGAATAATGTGAAAGAATGTCTTTTAGTAGTACAATTTGTTGGTTGTAGTGATCACAGAATTTTTGTATTTCTTTTAGTTCATGCTAGCACTAATATATCGTGCTAATATAATAAGAAAGAAGTTTGATGGAAATTAAGAAGTTTCATTAGTGGACAGGCGCATGGACTCTGGAGCAAAAATGAATTTGAAGCTTTTGAGCATGTAAAAACTTGGGCACGTCATCAAAGGTCTGTCCTTCACGTTCCTCATTTGTAAATGGGAATGACATGTTTAATAGTATCTATCTACAGTGGTGTGTGACTTTCATAAGTGCTACATGCCAAGGGCTTAAAACAGTGCCTGGCATATAGTGAGCACCCAGTGATTACGAGCTGCCATGATTAGAACATATACCTTCTTGGATCAGCGGAAAGAGCATCAGCTTTGGGGTCCTCTCCTAGGTGTGTCACTCAGCTGCATCACTATGAGGTCGGTAACCTGGACAGTTCACGGAACTAAACTGAAGTCACCCTCTGCATCTAGGAAATGGGCATAATTATACACATTGAACGTGTAATTGTGGAGGCTAAAGGACATTGTGGATGGGAATGGCACAATGCAGGCAGAGTAGGGGTCAGTGAAGAATGACTATCGCCACAAGAGAGAATCCTGGCTCGGATTCGGGACCCAAATTCGCTAGATGTCAGGCAGCTGATTCCTCTGTTACTGAGCCTCTGCATGTAAAGGTGGCATACCAATACCCAGTAGAGACCAGCGCTAGTGTGTGCCAAACGTCCGCTTCATCATAAGAACTCCTTGGGGTTGTTATCAGTTACTTCTTGGGTGAGCAAACCACCGCCTGAGGGCCAGTTCCTGCCAGAGCACATGTTGTTGTGTGTCCTGAAAGCCATTAGCTTATGCTTTTAAGTGGTGGGGGAGAGGAGGGAGAAAAAATATTTTGTGACTCATAAAAATTATATAAAATTCAAATTTCAGTGTCCAATAACAACATTTCGTTTGAGCACCATCATGGTCATTGTTCCTGTTGTCTCTGGCTGTTCTCCCACCACAAGGGCAGATGTGAAACGTTTTGGCGGAGATCACAGGCCTGCGAAGCCTAAAATAGTTATGACCTGGCTCTTTACAAAAAATTGTTCGCTGATCCCTGACCTATTCTAACCTTCTCTTTTATGTGAAGGTTAAGGGGTAGAGAAATGAGAGATGTTTCCATTTGTTTACTTAAATATCCAGCGGTTAGAGTCTAGTTTCTTGACACGGGCCAACACAGCCAGACACTGACACTTTCTTATAAAGAAAAGTATTTGGGAAAGTATATAGAAAAGAGGATAGTTATTGTATTTCTCAAATACAACACAAATAGTTATTGTATTTTCAGACATATTCAAATAATCTGAATATGTAATTTAAAAATATCCTAAATTATTTGCATTTCTCAGTATCCCTTTTGTGTCTGTAGTGACCCCTTTATAAACTATACAACTATATTATTTCTCCATTATCTTATAGGAAACTGTTATAGTCAGAGACTTTCTGGAATTTTAAGGTATTAACTGACAAGCAATCCCACACTGGTTTGTTATTTGGGTGCTGTCTCTGTTATTCGTCACTTGTTTCATTCCCTCATGGCTTCATTTTTGAAAGCAGCAAACAGCCCGACTGTTCCCAGCTCACCTCTTGCTTCTCCTGGGCCGTTCTCCACCCCCTTGCCCCTTACTGCTACCCACCCTCCCCCAACCCCATCCGCCAAGGTGTCAGTGAACCTGAGCAACAGTTGCAGATACTTTTGTTTTTTCTTGCTGCTGGACACACTGATACCTTCAAGATCAAAGGAAATAAATGTTTTTCATTTATGGATTTCTATAAATGAGACACAGAAATCCATCTGAGTTACAGAAGTACTTCAGAAGGAATAAGACTGTGCTCTGAGCAAGTCGTGTGTGTCCTAGACAGGCAGGTGAGGGATTGGCTGCAGGTCAGGGTTTAATTTTCAGAGTTTACATATTCTATAGCCTGAAGAAAACTAGGGACCAAAAGACAAAGACATCTGCTATCTCTTTAATTTAATCAACACCTGAGGGAATGTGTCTGACAAGTTATCTGTCTGTAGCTATCAAAAATCCAAATGTAAAAATCTAGCTATCTAATCAAACAACCTATTAAAATACTTTTAAAATGAAGCCATTAAAGCTATTCTTATCTTTCAAGTACATTAAATCATTTTTGTTTTTATGGAGCTTCAAAAAAATCTAAATTAACCAGAAATTTTGGTACAGGTCATACCTAACCAGTGACTTAATGGTTGGGGAACAAAGCTTCATTTATATTCAGAATTCTGCCAGAGGCAACGAGTCATTTTCAAGTCTTAGATGTTATTACCTAGAAAAGGTATATCAGTGATGTCCTGGAGGGGCAAGTACTGGCTCAAGTCAAATAGTAAATTTTCAGCAGTTTTGCAAGCTGGTTGTTAAATGGTGGCTTGACATGGTTAGAGGTAGGAGTATTTATATCAGGGAAATAGGCAGTACTACCCCTTGTCTATGTGGTTTGTCAGGACACCATTGAGTCCCTTTAAATCAGCCATGCTCCTCAGAGTTCTCCTCAGGGAGATGAAACTGTTCTAAAACTGACTTATGATGATGGTTGTATTCTCTTTAAAATCACTAAAAATTGTTGAGTTGGCCCTAACCGGTTTGGCTCAGTGGATAGAGCATTGGCCTGCGGACTGAGGGGTCCTGGGTTCGATTCCAGTCAAGGGCATGTACCTTGGTTGCGGGCACATCCCCAGTGGGAGGTGTGCAGAAGGCAGCTGATCGATGCTTCTCTCTCATCAATGTTTCTAACTCTCTATCCCTCTCCCTTCCTCTCTGTAAAAAATCAATAAAATATATTTTTAAAAAATATAAATAAATAAATAATAAAAATTTTTGAGTTGTCTACACTTGAAATGAGTGAGTTTTATAATCCCTAAAATATGCCTCAATAAAATTGTTCAACAAATTGCTCCCAATCAACAAACAAAATGTCAACATGTATAGATGGCGACAAGATCCAGTTACATACCCAATAAATGAGAAATAAAGCCACATTTGCTCAGCACTTCTGATGGGTTGATACTTTACACAGTGATTCCCAACCGTGTCTCACTCTGGAATCACTTGGAAAGTTTAATAAGAAAAAGTTAACTCCCAATATGTTGATGTCTTTTGTTTGGTCTGTGGTCTGAGCAGAAATTTTAAAAACTTCTTGGGTGATTCCAGTGTGCGGCCAAGGTTGAGAACCACAACTATAGAGCAATTTCCCCAGATAATTGTAGCTTGCCTGTTGTTACAGAAACTACCCTCAAATGCTTAATAAATTCCCAGGCGTTCTGAAATAGAGCAGTCTGGACGTAAATGCCTATTTGGGGGTTGTTTCTAGGTTGTATTGAACGTGTACTCTTTGTACATGGAGGGAAGATACAGATCTGTTTCCTTGTGGGTTTCCTATGTAGTTGCCATGGGCATTATGGTGGGGAGAAGGGACATCAGCTAGCTCACCTTGTCATCTAAGTGAGTGCCAACGAACTCAAACACAGAGTCTAAGCTCAGGGATTTTTGAATTAAAGGACCAGAGTTGAATATCTCCTTTGGGTCTCTTCTCTTTGGGGGCTTCCTACTGATTGTGGGCTGGGAATATAGATAAGGAAGCATGCACTAAAAAATTATCCTATATAATAAAAGCCTGATATGCAAATTGACTGAATGACGGACTGACCAGCGGAATGACCGGTCACCATGACATGCACTGACCACCAGGGGGCAGACACTCAATGCAGGAGCTGCCCCCAGCCCTCAGGCCCCAGGCCAGCCAAGGCAGGTGCTAGCTGGAGCCCCCTGATTACCCCGCTGGTTGCCCTACAGATCGGCCCTGATCGCCAGCCAAGACTAGGGACCCTACCCATGCACGAATTTCATGCACTGGGCCTCTAGTAGTTTAATAATTTAATAAGGCTACAAGTGAGAGCCCAGGCATCCACCTTCAGTGTCTGCACTTATGACACCCATTTTGTATGCTCAGGGACAGTTTACCTTTTCTCTTTGAGGAAACCTAGAAGGCTAGTGATGTCTTGGAACTCTGAATTCCCAAGGACAGGAGTTTACTTTATAGAAAACTTTAGCTAGTATATCTGATTTCCCTTCTGAAGGTAGAGTTCAATTCTGAGGCCTCAAATTTAAAATCTACAGACAGGACCTACTGAGATCTTTTACAACCGTGCAGCACCAAAGACACAATCTCTGCTTTCTTCATGCAGACAGATTTGACCCCTGCTTCAGCGTTTCCTGTTAAGAACATTGACTTTGGAAAGCTGGAATCCCAGCTTCGCCATTTAATTGATGTGTGATAGAGGCAAGTTATTCAACCCTTCGGTGCTCATTTTCTTCCTTTGTAAGATGGAGATGATAACAGTTCCTATGTCATTGGCTTGCTGTGAAGATTTGAGCTGTTTGTTCAGACATAAGGTGCAGGTCGCGCCTCTCATGAAGCCCAGGTGTGGAAACCAGCCTCACCAGGCTCTTCCCGGTACTTTAGGGTAAAGGTGCAGTGTCTCTAGGAAATCCCCTATTCCTCTCTGGGTCATGTTTGTTTCTCTAATTAAATATCCTGATGAGCTGTCTCATCTGGTCCCTTCTTAAAGACAGGACTATGACGGCTCCACCCATTGGAACTCACTACCTGCTTGAGGCAGAAATTGTATCCTCTTTCTGAGTTGCTAGTATTTAAAAGGCTCACAGTTGCCCCTGCAGATAAGCCTACAGACAAGAGCTCACAAATGCAGTGTCAGGAGAAAGAAAGGCATGCGGACATCGCTGTAGACACTTCCTCCTTTCTCTTGAAAAAGTCCCTCTCCTGTACAGTAGGAGTGGAGGCTTTCTGTTTATCTTACCCGCAACAGCTTAGAGCTCAACAATTTTAACAGCACATTTATTT